GTTGCGATTTTTGATGTTGAAGTAAATGAAGTAAATTTGTGCAACTGTTTATCATGATTAAAATTTCCCGCCAAACCTCCCTCTCCACCTCAAGCGCATGCCTTGGCATTATTTCTTTTCTCTTACCTTGAGCTTGTAGTGAAAATCACTTTTTATTACTCCCTGTGACATCATCACCAGACTTGTACAATTATTGCAGGAGCAGCTAGTGGGAGGTTAGTTCATACTGACATAGGCACCACCCAGAACTACATCTCCCAAAAGCCCTTTTCCTACACACAGTGCGGCGTGATCAAGCCCTTGGGGGGTCGAGGCGGCAGCATTGTTTTGAAGGGAGACAAATCTATATATGTATGTAAAGAAGGACCGAGACGAGAGGGGGAGACGCAGAGTTCTGTAATTCCGCACGAAAGGATGACAACACTGGTTGGCATTTCAGTGTAGGTGTTGTCAGCTCAAACAGGAAGTTAGGAGCTCACTGGATGTCTGGCAGATCACGGAGAATTTTTTGGACTTGCAGCTTCCTTAAACATTATTATTATTATTATTATATAGGATTTATATAGCGCCAACAGTTTTCGCAGCGCTTTACAATATAAGGAAGACATTACAATCACAATACAAATCAAGACAAGATGGTGAGGAGGGCCCTGCCCCTGAGGGCTTAAACATTAAAGTATTTACATGGATAAAACATGGGAATGTGTATTGCTTGTATGTACGGAATGTACTTTTTTCCTCTGGCATATACTTCAAATTCAACAACGTTTGAGACTCACATCCCCGATCATGACGGCCTCCTCCGGGCTGCAGCCTGTGCTCCGCAAGGCTTCCAGGAAGAAAGTCTTCTCTGGCTTCCCAACCACAGTGGCTTTGGTGTCAGTAGCATACTCCAGTGCCGTCACGAATGGGCCGGGACCCAATGCCAGACCGTCCTTCCTCTTATAGTACCTGGCCTTGTGGATGGCAATGATTGGCGCTCCGTCCAGGACCAGCCTTAAAGGAAAAGGCAGAGAGAGAAATATATAAGGGGAGACTTACAGCATGTCAAACATTGGTGCACATGTCAAACTGTCTATCTGCAGGTCCCTCTGGACTTCTAGTAGAATGCAGAAGAATCTTACCGCACTCCTTACTGGTATCTCCCTGGTGGTGGGTGCTGTAGTGACTGCGGATGGCGCCGCTTCAGATCCAAATAGTAATGTATGTCACCAGCACACCAAGGTTCAATCTTCAAGCGGTGATCATTTTATTGATGCGCACACATCTTGTCACATTGCAACGTTTTGGGGCCACCCAGGGTCCTTTCATCAGTGCACTCCTATCCAGTATTTACCCCAATACCCCAACCCCCTGAGTGGCCCCCGAAACATTGCTATGTGACAGGATGTGTGCGCATCAATAAAATGATCACTTCTTGAAGATGGAACCTTGGTGTGCTGGTGACATACTTTACTATGTAGGAGATAACAGGCATGGCTCCCAGTATAACCCAGTAGCATGGACACCATATGAATGAATCTGAGCAAGCCCAAAAAATCATTACAAAACCTCATCTGGGGTCCGCTCCAGCACACCTAGACAGGGCTTTAATGACCATCATGGTACTGGTGGGTCATTGATTCAAAGGATCACTGCGCTAGAACTGGATTCTATATAGCTAATAGGACCAGCAGCAACTCTGTGTAACAAAGGTATCTGATATGGCAAGTAAGTTGCGCTTGATCTAAATGGATGTGAATTCCAAAGTGAAAGGATAAACTATTAAAGGAGAACTACGGGGTCAGTGTTTTTCCCCATAGTTCTCCTTGGGGTAACGGGAGGACATAAACTAGCGTCCTCCCGTTACCCTAAGCTCAGTATACTGCGAGTTACAGCTTGCGGTATACTGAGACGCCGCACCTGGAGCGGATCCCGACGTAGATGACGGGATCCGCCCAGCTGCGTGACTGACAGCTGGCTCTGCCTATCTAGAGGCAGAGCCAGCTGTACCCGCCCCCTCCCCCGTCCGTTCCGCCAGTCAGCGCTGGCAGATCGGAGCGGGGAGAGGGGAATCCAGCCCCTCCCCTGTCACGGCAGAGAGTCGTGACAGGATCGAGAGGTGAGCGAACACCGGTATGTGTTCGCTCACCTCCCGATCTACTGAGCCGACCTGTGACAGTCTCATTGTCACAGGTCGGCTAGAACTATGAGGTGAGTGGAAAGCACTCATCTCATAGTTCACCTTTAAATCACAAAAAACACCTAAACTTCTATATAAATACCAAAAACTTCTGTCTCGATATGTGATCAGTAAGTGAATAATCAAACGATCAAAATGAACCAATCTCTTGAATCAAAAGAAAAACCATAATTAGTGTATAAATGCCGGAAGTTCCTATTACGGCATGTGGTACGTGGAACATGTATTCAAACACCCCACAGTGTCTCAATAAATATATATGTGACAGAAGCGCCGTGCTCCCACAGTGTAGCCTAGAGTCCTCTGTAACGAGCAAATGAAACAGAAAATAAAGCACTTAATTGCAATCCTTATATGGTGCGTCGTTGCCTAGGACAGCAGGGATAGAGGGGAGACAACCAAGCTTCAAAACTGTAATAACTTTATCCGTAGTTTGTTTCTCTCTTTTGGCCACCTCTGGACATCTGTGACAGAATTCAGCAATAGAGCTGAAGGGGGAAGAGAGATGGCGAGAGGAGTCACAAGACTCTCTATACAAACCTAAAGTAGCTCTTCGTTCTCTTGTAGTTTTGCTCTGCATATAAAGCAGATAGCACGATGCCGCCAAAAACACAATATGGCCGAAGTATGTCATAAAATAACCGCACAACACACGTGGAAAAGGACGTTATAATTCATTTGCGCCTACGGTGGTGTAATGACTAGCTATAGCCCTGCACCTAACATCTTCAACAAAGTATTGTTACTGAAAGGGTAAGTGCACTCCTATCCAGTAATTGCCCCAATGCCCCAACCCCCGGCCCTTCTAATAGCCTCTATATACAGTAGCATAGACCTCAGGTCAGACAATCACCAATATTGATGGGATAGCAGATCACAAGCAACACACTGCTCATCTTCTACTACAGGGGACAGCAAATGTACTCTGATATACAAGCTGTACACTCACTACTTTACATTGTAGCCAAGTGTCATTTCTTCTGTCTCGTCACATGACATGATATCATCAAATATTTACAGACATGTGAGGGGTGTACTCACTTCTGGGAGATCCTGTATGTATTTATTGATGTGTGTTCTGATGGGGGGGGGGGGGGGGGGGATTCCCTCACTTCCTGTCCATGTGAAGTTGGTACAAGTGACAGAAGTTGTGGCACCCAGCGTGATAAACAGTCATAAAACAGTCCGACATTATAACCCTTACCCCCTCTACTAAAGATATGTTCTTGTCTTTCTGTGTCCCCGCGTTGGAGAGATTTCACATCACTTCCTGTCCTAAGAAGAATTGAGGGCAAATCTCCCCAGCGGGGATAGACAGCAAAGAATTTGTGACCGAAGCTTCAACTGCCTTCATCGCTTTGGCTTGGAGTTTGATTGTAATCCATTCCTCAAAGTTTTTTTGTCATTTAGAGCATAGAAGTACCAAGGAAGTCCCCAAAACACTTTCAAGCCAGCCCCCAAAAAACAAAATAACTAATCTGTTTCAGCTACTCAGGTTAAGAAAATAGAGGTTTCAGTTGTACATATATGCAAATACACGTGGAAAACTGCAAGATGGACTACAATCTCAATACAAATGACTAAATTAAAGGTGACATTATAGTCCATCCCAGGAGTGAGCTTGGAGCGGTGACTACTCTACAACACACACAGGGACCATGGGGAACAGATGTAGCCCCCCTCCAGAAGGAAGGACAGTGTCAGCACCAATTCAGAGATGATTGGAGGATCTACAGCTGAGTGATACACAAATAAGATATATTGTTGTTCATAGTTAATGTTCTTGAATGCATTTCTAAAATGTAACTCCTGACTTTAGTGTCACTTTAATTAGAAAGGAATGAATCTTCAACTTCTTTTTATGTAATATTGCATGATGGCCACTAGATGGGGCTAAAGGAGCATAGGGAAGAAGTATGTGTTTTCTATGCTCCATCTAGTGGTCATAGTGTGATATTACAGGGGCAGGAATGAAAACGCATTCCTTTGTAAAGAAACATCTAAAAGAACCTTTGTTTTGTCATTTATCCGCACAGAACGAATGGCTACAGATAATCGCAGGGCGAACGAACCAGTGACTGGTTTATAAACAGACCCCCAAGACTTATGTGCTCGGTTATTGACTCCACTCTCTGTACACTTTGCTCTTCATACAATATTCTATCAGTTGCAAATACGGCACCATCTGCAGCTTTGATATCAACAGCCGGAGCTCTTGCAGCTACTTCAGCTGGAGCGTGTTCAGTCCTTACAAGTTTTCCCGGTGGACTAAAAGTGGTCAGAGAGAAACTGTAGCCATGTTCTTTACTTGGCTCCTCCCCCTTGTCACACAATTGCTTTTAATCTCATCACTTTCTGGAGGGTTGAAGCATTGTTTCAACGAGCTGTAAGGGTACCAATCAACCTGTCCACACCTGTTAGTCTCGTAGCTGGGAACTCAAACGTTTACAACACCGAAATATATGTAAATGGAAAGCAATCAGAATTCATTTCGGGGTTTAGGGCCTGTGAATATCTGGGAATATTCGTCCTGTGTGAATATATGCACAAAATTAACGTCCTTTTGTTTTGTTTTTTCCTTTACAAGTGTCATTAAAAATTGAATGTCCTGATTGTAATATCACATTATGGCCACTAGATGTAGCCGAGGAGCACAGAAAACAAATACGTATTTCCTATGTTCCTTTTGCGCCATCTAGTGGCCATAATCAGTTACTACAAGAAAACATTAAAATGTAATTACACTTGTAAAGGGAAAAACAAAAGAACCTTCACTTGTATATTAAAGTGACATTAAACCCTCAGATTTTTTAACATAAACCAATACTGTAATGTGCGCCTTACTGTAATCCATGGTAGTTTCCTTCTCTTTGCTGCTCTTCCTTTTAAATCCGTATCTCTTCTCATGCTGGGCAGAACTTCTGTTTTGCAGCAGACTGCCTTGTCTCTGGAATGGCTACATGGTGTCTGTGTGCAGGTTCACAACCTGAGCCAGCACTACAGGAAGAGGCACTCAGCTGCAAAGGGAAGTTCTCCCCCAGCATGAGAAGACATGAGGATTTAAAAGGAAGAGCAGCAAAGAGAAGGGAAACAACCATGGATTACAGTAAGGCGCACATTACAGTATTGGTTTATGTTAAAAAATCTGAGGGTTCAATGTCACTTTAAGTCGCACAGAATGAACAATCACAGATATTCGCAGGGCGAAGGGCTCTGCAAATTGTTTATAAATCAACCCCTAAATGTTTCCAAGGCAAACAAGAAAACTGAGGCTGCTACCGGCCACAACTATGAATGCTGATGTACTAAGCGCGCCCAGTAATAACGTTCCCTGGCGTCACTATCTGATGCAAATCATAATGACTTCCCTTTTTTTGCAAAATCCCCCTTTTTTTTAATCACTACGGCCCTATAAACTTCGGATTACAACATCAAGCTCTGCCGGGCTGCTGGAGGAAGTAAGGTCACATGACACATTAACGCTTGCCTCGCCTGCTTCACTTTGGTAAAGGCCGAGTCTATCCACAGCAAAGGTTGCTGGGAGGCGGAATCACTCACCACCATATGACGTCTATGTGGCAGCATTTAAAGTAACGAGTCGGAGGGGGGAGGGCTGGTCTCACTCCTCTTGCTCCATTCAACATATTGTATAACTTCGTCTGTGCCCGGCTCTGATTTCATTTCATATATGGTGAACGTCCCCTCCTCTCTCTGCCGGCGTCCATCACCAAGATGGCCGCTGGCATGTATCACCAAGATGGCCGCACATGCTTGTGATAACATCACAGCAGGGTGTGACCCGGTTTCCCGCTCC